GCCTTTGCAGTGCCACAAGCTTGTATCAGAATCGACTTTGGTCAACAGCCATCTCAATCCAGAGTACAGGATTAACCAAAGTGTATTGCTTTGTGTTGATTGGATCAAAGAGAGAGATGGAGAGTAAGAGAGAGATATAGAGAGAGAGAGAGAGAGAGAGAGAGAGAGAGAGAGAGAGAGAGAGAGAGAGAGGGAGATAGATAGAGAGAGAGAGAGAGAGAGAGACCTCCCTTCAGGGCTGGCAGGCTATACCTGCATGAATGAATGAAGCCTGCATACTATTGAGATTTCCCTTCAGTAGGCCTACATTTACGTGCACAAACATGAGCGTATTATACAAGTACGTTTTACCATGCATTAGAAAGCAGTTACTTCTAAGATAAAGTATTTGATACAATTGCAATGGCTCAGTGGTAGAGCAATGGTCTCAAACTCGGGAGGTCCTAGGTTCAAAACCAATTTGATGCACTAGTGCCCATGGGTTAGGCATTGATTCTCATTACCAAGTCCCTCAGAGAGGACTTAAAGCTGTCAGTCCCCTGTTTGCTTACTTACAAGCATACACATGCTTTCTAAATATACCAACCAAACATATTGCTTATTGCATCTACAGATATGCTTTAAGTCTTCTGAAAATATTTTATGTTATATCTTTTGGTCAACGTGAACATACTTGAACAAATAGCCTTCCGTTTCATAGTTGTTTAGCCTGTTTACAAAAATATTTGGATTGTGTCATTTATCAATAGTTGAAATTAGCTCTCTGGGGAGAATGTTTGCCAAAGGGCATGAAACAGTTTGTCATATATAAATTATAAAAGCTGTTCAATTATCAACTATTAAGCAATGTTGAAAAATGAAAGAGACATATGTTTGGTGTCATCTATAAATCAGCATTTCTATCAAAAAACAAATATGCATGATTCCAATGAAAACAAGGAATATATTCTCATTATTCTTGCAAATAGGGTTTTGGAGTAGAATATTTTCTACTATTAGCACATTCAATGTACACTCCAGGGCATATGATCTGAGTCTGTGAGTAAAATCAATGTGGCTGGATCGTTATCATGGCGAAAACAGTTGCCAACTTCCAGTAAACATGTGTGTTGCAAAATAAAGGTTAGAGTTAAAATATTGAAATAAAAGAAAATACGAATAGGGAGAAAGAGCAAGATAAACAGAAAGAAAGGAACGAGGTTATATTCATGCATCAGATTTTCTCATGAGAAATTTCACACTTTGTGCACCCGGAGTCAAACCTTGCTGCTAAGGAAAGGTGTGGAAACCTTTTGTACTAGCATCAATACACTCCGAGGGCAAGCTTGAATAAGGACAGCTGTGCATGGTCGAGGCTCTATTTTTGTTCACTCTTTCTCTGTGCTGTATTCCTATTCATATGTTCATATTTTTGCACTAGTAGAGGATAATCATACGAAAATGCGAGGAAGATAGACGTAGTGTATTAGAAGTAAAAATCTTGGGATGATGTGAGACTAAATGAACAGAAAGAATGACAAACAAAATAGGACATATTATTTATTATGTATGTATGTCTGATTACATGTATGATTGTGAAGAGATAGTTCAGAGGAAAAGAGACAGGGAGCCAGACAGCCAACTTTCGATAAATAATTTCACACACTTTTGTTTTAAGTTCAAATTAGGAATATCTCTTCAACCTGATGATATATTTTAAGGATTAATACAATTTGTTAGGAATTAAAGGTAGAATAATTGCCAATGCATACCATTACGGAATAATATTGGTTCAAATATGTCTCTAACAATCACAGAAATACACATGTGTGTCTTTCATATAACTGCTCTTTGTACCAGGTTCCTATTTGTAATCAATAAATCAATATTACAAAAACAGTTTGAATCTTCTTTTTTTTTTATAGAAGGAAGCATTATTGAACTGAAGTTACAGTATTGTTGAGTGATTAATTTGATATTGATATAGCCATGTATCCTAAATACTTTGGTATCCCTGTCTGCTTGGTGTTACTTCCTTAATTCAATTCAGAAGACGGTCTTAAGTGGCCATTATATCATATACTGGATTGAAAGATCCCTGAGGGACGGAATAACGGTGCTTGTGATTTATCAAGAGTGGGCAGAAATGGAGATTGCAGATAAACAGTGATGATATTTGCAGATTCAGATAATGTATTTGGGCCTTTGGGGGTAAAAGCTTTCCTAACATATTTGTCCACAGTCCTACAGATTTTATATAAAACCATGAAGTTCATTTTTTTAAAAATTGGATTGAAGCTAATGGTGCTTGTACAAATTCTAAGTTATTGAATGTATATATCGTCCTTGTTTTCACAAAGTGACGGTAGTGAGGAAAATCGTAACGCAAAGTGAATGCAATTTTTTTTCACTACCGTCACTTCGTGAAAACAGCGACGATATTTTGGGTGAAAAAGCAAGAAAAAGAATAACAAGACTTCATGACAAAAAGAAATGTAATGGCTACGAATACTTTTCTATAAGATAGATAGATGATGATAACATGTAGATAGCTTACAAGAATTTATATTTGGAAAAATTTATAATACTGACCTATCATTGTGTAGGCCTAGGTAATTGTGGATTGAGAAGAGCTTTCTCTTCTTTCATTATTTTGTTGTACTCAAGATTAGTACCTTTGTTGATAGTTATAATGTTGATTATTGTTATCAAGATGCGAGACTGGGCCTTCAGAAATCAAAGTAATTTGCTTTGTATCAAATTCATTTCTATCTCTTCAATTATCTTCTTTTGTATCATGACATGGAAAGCATTACATAATGTAACACATGAACATTCCAATTCTACATTAAAATACCCTTTCTCCTGGATATTAGATAACTAACTGCATGTAATTCACTTCAACTGATATGCAATGCCTATTTACATCAGTTGTGAAGTATATTACAGTATACACATGGAAATGCAGTACTATGCCAACGGCTAAATGGCATTTGAAACAGTGGATAGGGCATAATTTTGTGCTTGCATGGCCAAGTTTCACAATCAAGTCTTGAGAGCATTGAAGTATGAGGTAATGCTCATATTTGCAAGGGGAAGCTAGCTGCCCTTGAACCCGAAGAGAAGCTCTATGAATAGAAGATTATGTTTGGATTCAATCCTTCAAGATTCACCGAGGAGAATAAGAATGGGAATTAAATAATGCACATGTATAATCCTTCAGATTGAACTCAATCTAGAAAATATATTCACCATGAATTCCAAAAAGTCTAGGCTCTCTGTAGTCGCATTGAATTAGTTTATTTCACCACTGCAAGTTGTAAAAGCATTTTGTAATCAATTGTGATTATTTCTCATCAGAATTTAAGATCGAGATGTAATAGACAAGAAGGTATTATGATATTAGTACTTGTCATTTGATGGAATTAAATTGTCTTGAATATAACAAATGTGATGGATTCGTAATCCCATTGTAAATTATGCATGAAAGACAAAATGAAGACCAAAGAAAAGCATTGATTGAGTATTCCATTCCCCCCCCCCCCTAGTACATTGCCATGTATAAAGACAGGATTGTCATGTAATTCCTGAAATACCCCAAGACATTTTCTCTTTAATCCTGATTTTGACATTTTTAGTAACACAGCATGACAACTGACAAAGTATTGACAGCATATGCCAAGTGTGGTTGAGAAGTATCCCTTTATGTCAAAGTCTAAATTATTCCTATAGAAGAATTGATCCTTTCTCTGCAATAGAACTTCTATGAAATCCAAATTGCGTGCTTCAAATAAACCATGCATGCACCTCGAATCACAGATTATTGTGATTGATGTGAGTTTGTGAGTTTATGAAAAATGACATTGAGTGAATTTGTGTCAATTGCATATTTTACTTTATACTATGGGCTGACTGGCTGATACATGGTACCCAGTGTCAATTTGTTTATCTTTCATGACTCTGCTCAGTAAATAATGACTAAACTAATTATGTCTCTAAGTCAATACTATTGCATTACAGTGTATTTCAATAAGACTTGGTTATAATGTGCACTTGTAATAATCTCTGTGTATAGAAGCAAAAAATATCCCACTTCAAATTTGTAATATTGCAGTGAAAAGTCACGTATGTCTCCTTTAGCTTCACATTGCTTTTATTTCAGTAAGACATGTTTGGATGAATTTTTGACCCCCTTATCATAATATCATGGCTATTATATTAAAACGAGAGAAAAATAAAGTTATATATATCCCATGTAGGAACGAGCCTATGATAAGAGGAGAGCCCATTTTTATTTCGTGCATTGTGAAACCTAAAGTCAAATGTTATTGGAGTTGTGCCAAATGACCACCTGCCTTCATGCATGTATGAGTTTTGCTCATTTTCGTCCATGTTGTATTCATTAGCTTGCGTTTGTTCCCCGTATTCAGTATTCATACATATTTTGAGAAAGAAAAAAATAACAGTTGTATGTACCGGTACACTGTTAGAGTCTTGAAGTATGATTCATACCAAATTGGATGAGGTATTTCATTCTTTCAAAGATCCTTTTTCACACTCATCATTAGAAGAAGGGAAAACCTTAAGTAATCACAATGGTAACACTTATATAAACAATGAACAAATATGGAAAAGAAAATACACATTTAAACAAAGCATTAGTGAGTATAAAGGGAAGAGCTAAAAGTGGAAATAGCCTTTGTGCAACAGCCCTTGTGCAACAGCCAATCCCCAAAATTTGAAATCATGAATCGATTGTCAAAACTGTACTTTTAAAAATAATATATTAATAATGATAATATCTGTAAGAAGTACTGATTGTAGTTATACAATTTGTTTTTAATTTGCACCTATATATGGCAAAGATTCAACAATCAACACTAATTGCAATCAACATGGTGTCAGTTTGGTTATACATCCATGGACATGACGACAATACAACAAATTCAATTGATTTGTCTAGTAAATCTAGATCTAGATCTTAACATTTCTGTACTTTATTTTTTTCTTTCATGTTACAGAGGCAAGAGGACATCCATAGGAAGTGGGAGGAGTTTAAGGCCATACAACGAGACGACAAATACAGCTACTTGGAGCAGAAAGTTGAACTCCAACGAGAGCTAATTCGAGCCTACGACGATCTCTTCCTAGAGAGGCGCCTTAAAACTGACAGAAAACTTGAAGAGGTAAGAGAATTACTCTCATGTTCATGTTTAATCTCCCCTAGCTATATAGCTACTCATCTCCTCCTAGCTGTTATCTATCAATGCGTCAATGTTGAAATAACTACTCCAATCAAAGAAATGATATGTACCCATACATGAATACTATAAGCCTTGTTTGATCGAACGAAGATGAGGAAAACATCTGCCATATATTACATCGTACGAAAAATACACGTCCATGTCATTTCCATGCACACTGCACACAAGCAGTCTTGAAATTCAAGGGTATATTGTCTTCTGTATAGCATGAACAATCTAGACATGATGAGCAGCATGCATGTCCCATTATCGGGCACCAATGAAGACGATTCCTTGGTGCATGTGCGTAGAGCTCTACTGTTATGTAGTATATGCATACAGTAACGAGGCAGAAAAGTATGCCTCTAGTTGAAGGTTACATCTTAGTGTTAAGAGGTGTCCATGATCATACATTAGCTTATATTAAATGTCATGTTCGTAATTTGTCAGTCAATTATGAGGATGTGGTGCAGAGCATATTTTAGGAGCTTGCATGCATGATAATGTTTTAGAATACAACAGTCATTTTATGTTAGAACCAACTGAATTGCATAAGATGATACTCTCAGCAAAGATAAAAAGATACCATCATGGTACTCCTACCATCCCCCCTCCCTCCAAAAAAAGAAGAAGGTGATAATATTTGTGTCTCCCTAATATTCAGTTTTTAGTTAGAAAATATATGTATGATATAAATGATCATATGCAAAAAAGATACGCTCGATAGACCGGTAGTGGTAAAATTGCTGTTCAAGGGTTTTGGGTGCAAATATCAATTCAATATTGTTTAAATATTGCCTTCAGAGGTTATAGATGGCAATACTTCAAACTAATTTTGCAAAAAAGCAGAAATATATGCCCAAATGTTCAATGTTGAAGTGCATATGTGATATCTATATATATCTATCTATATATGATAGGCCAGATCGATATGATAATTGACCAAATATATCAATCAGTAGATGGTTTCCCGGCAAAATTTATATCATCATATCATCACGTATTAGTCAAAACATATTCTTTCACATGATTGGTAATAAGAGCTTCCATTTCATTTTTTGAGAGGGGGACATTTCCAAAACTGGTCTATACCTTTAACATACTTAGCAAAGGCAATAGAGTGGCATTAATTAGCTGCCCACTGCCATTGACAATGAATGGCTATGATATCCTTTGAGTCAGTAGCTCATTAAAATTATTAGCATTCTCTATTTTCATTGAGCAACTACAATTTACTAATAGCATTTCCCCCAGGGGACAACAAGAGAATGTATACACCCATGTGTGAATCAAATGATCAAATGAGTCAGTATATTAGGAGTATATTAGGAGTATGGTAATCAGACATTTGACATTTGCTCTAGCAACAGTTACCCCGAGCTTGGTTTGCTATCAGGTCTTAGCTATCAGTTCTTAGCCAGGGTTAGGCCCAACTTCACAAAGGAGGTATGGATTTAAACCTACATCTAAACCATGGTTTGGACTAATAATGAATAAATATATGTTGAGGAGGCCCGATGGCTTAGTGGTAGAGCATTGGTCTAATAACCGGGAGGTCCTGTGTTCAAAACCAAGTCAATGCACTCATGCATTAGGTATTTAAGGCAATAATCCTCATTACCAAGTCCCTTGCAGAGGACTTACAGCCGTCAGTCCCCTGGTTGTTCACTTACAATCATATATATGCTTTCTTAGCAATCAGGTGAAACAGTCATCGATCATCAAGCATATATTAAATCCCTTCATTAGATATTGGATGCATACAATGCATATGAAGGTTTTAAACCATGGGTTAACTCTTGTATAAGTTTTAGAGTTAGGTATTGTAGTCCAGAGTTAAAGTTTTATAAGAATTTGGTTTGTGTTTGAAATTGACCGTGGAGCGATTGTTGCTAGAGCGAGTGTGGTACAATGATATACTGTACAGCGGACCTCAACGGTTGCTGGTCAGTGGAGAACCTGTAACAGCCTGGACACCAATCTTCCTCTACTGCCTGGTTGCAACTGGTGGATAGTGTTCTGTTGTAGAGTCGATCTAAGCACCAGTTGAAATCAGAGCTGTAGGGGAAGACCCTCATCGTGTGATGATTAACATCCCTCTGTCACCTGGACGAGAGCTGATAATGTCATCATCCAATGATACCTTCCTTCTCTACCAACTATAAATCATTGTACTAACTATACATGCAGTTTAAGTAGGCCTGCAGTATTTATAAATATACTGTGTGTAGGAAATAAAGTTCACGTAGAGGTATGTTCACATATATGCTTCGGTAAACTGAGGAATATGTGAACAAGCCTTAATAGGAGCTTTGAAGGTTCAAGAGAGCTTAGAAAAATACAGTTAAGACCCACCATGAGGAAATATCTTTTTCTTTGTTATATATTAAAGGGTTCAGCAAAAAAAGTAACATGGTATTAATGTGATGTAGAATATCCATTTTGTTTCATGATGGGCACGGGAATATACCCGTAGATAAATTAAAGATGACATTTCTCACAACGGATTATATGAAAACCTTTGGGAATATGACTTGTCAACATGTGCACATATTGAAAAAGCAGAGCAAATATGAATGCCGTGTACAACTAAAAGAAGCTGCCAAACACTTTTCTTACATCCATGTGATCTCACTATAACTACACCCAAGTGAATAGCAATTTGTTGGTTAACTCAAATTTGCTCACAATGTATTTGCAACTGGGATTGCCAGCATTGGGTGTGTGAATGGTCTTGGACTTTGTATCAAATTTTGTTTGAATTATGAAAAGCTACTTGGGTGATATAAGAGACCTTCCTGAATAAACGTAATACATCATTTCTTGCATTTTTGCTTTTAGGGGAGATACAAATATGTAATCTATATGTAACTGTAGTTTTTTTTTTATTGCTGGAAATGACTGGCTTGTAAGGAAACTAGGAAAGATGTCCTATATTTTGTTACCAATTTCACATTATTATTACTATTACAGAATATTTTTTTGCTCCCATTTTGTAGGCTCTATACGGTATGAAATGAATATATCCCATTTTTTGTTCCATGATATCGTTTTTATTAATGAAAAAAAAGCTGTCAGGCAGCCAACTCCCAGCACACATCAAATGTTTGGTTGTGTTACCATGACAACAACGGGCGAGTGTCTACATGCTCCTGCGCGTGTGTGTGCGTACTGTCAATACAATAACACTTACTGACTGGGGCACAACTCTCTTCCTATCTCATCTTTTCTCTCTCCCTTTCTCTCACTTTCTCTTTCTCTCTTGCTTTTGCTCTATCATCAGCTACCATACCTCCTCTCCCCTTCAAATCCCCTCCCCATCTCTCTCTCTCTCTCTCTCTCTCTCTCCCTTTCTCTCATCCCCATATCAGTCATTTAGTACATTTGATGCATTTTGGAGTGTTGATAGATGGCTGGGTAGAGATATGCAGACCTTTTGACTCTCTTAGATTAATCATTCATGGATTGAGATATTCATGCAGTTTTTATTGCAGCTAAAACCTGGTTTGTTTTATGTGTGAAGGGATATCTTCTGGATAATGAAGTAATTGTTAATTGAAATATATGTAAATATATCGTCACTGTTTTCACAAAGTGACGGTAGTGAAAAAAAATTGCATTCACTTTGCGTTACGATTTTTCTCACTACCGTCACTTCGTGAAAACAAGGACGATACGTAGTTGTTTTTTTTAGTGAGTTGATGTCAATGACTCTTTTAAAAAAAAAATCATTTCTAGGTGGTTCTGTGGATGGAAATAAAAATTCATGCTGTAAATTGTAAATTGTTATTACAATACTCAAATTCCTTTTAAAAGATCTTTTTATTTTTGAAGAGGAAATTGGGTTTTAACTTTTTACTTATAGATATAGCTAAATATAATTTAGAAAATAGCAAAGTTTGACCTGAACTTATAACTTTCTCAGCATACAAATGCAGAATACACATTTGTATTATTCATCAAAAGTTATTATCGATGACGTAATGTTGTATATTCTTTAGTTTAATATTGTTCTAAATCCAAAAGGACTCAGAGAGAGACAGTTTGGAGGCCATGCAGGCAAGCAAAGAGTGGTAATCACATCTACTGTTTTCTATTGGTGCATAGAGTCCTTGTTTTACTTCTTCTAGCACCATGAGAAAGCAGTATTTGTGAGACACCCCAATCTTCTTTCTTCATGAAAATTCCACCAGGAGATCTACATCTAGCTGCTTTAATTGTAGCCTACTGTTTCTGCAGTTGCAGATAATTTACCTTGCTGTTCGTCAACTTCAAAAGTACTTACAGAAATTCACCGTACCATGATGTCATTTGAGTCACATTATTTTCTGATTCATGCATGGCTCTTCAATTAAGTCAAGTGCGTTGCATATGACTTATGTACATGATCTTACACTTCCTTCATAGGTTTCATTTTTTCGACATAATTTTCAATTATATCCATTTTTATTCATGCATTTCACTTTCTCGATCCATAACGATCAAATACCTTCCATTGTTTTGCATGCTCTTCCATTTTATTTAACATAAAGTGGCAAAATGAATCCTGAAGAGAATGAAAGTGTAAGTGGTTTCATTAGCATATGCTTATTGCATATTCTCACCAATAGTGCTTTTGTTACCACCATCATATTGTCCCATGTTAACCATTTAACCCCATAGTCAGTATCACTTGTGGCACTGTATTACTTATTTATCACTACCACCTTTGTTACCCCCTATACCAACAAACCCAAAATAACCATCCCTCCTAGCACCATCGACCGCCATTGTCAAACCTAACCACCATTTACCATATCACTACCATAATCATATCAAACCAGCGTATATTTACAAACATCATCAGTACAACAAGCATTATAATCAACACCACCACTACCATCATCATCTTCATGATAACCACCAATACCATTATTGTCTCAACCCCATCCACCATATTTAATATTAACTGTGACTTTTAGCATACCTCGATCATTTCAACCACAACTACCATCATCTTCATGATAACCACCAATACCATATTTATTATCTCAGCTTCTGCCACCATAATGACTTTTGGTATACCACAATCATCTCACCATCATAACCACCATCATCCACTGCCAGCCTCATCATCAGTACCACAACAACCATCATTATCTTCATCATCATCACCATCAACTTCATCATAATCATTATAATTATCAATATCACAACTATGACCACATTCAACATCATAATTTTATTTCTCCCTTTGATATCATATCTTGTGATCACATTTATACATCCATCGTCATTACTGTTCCCACAAGTAGAGTGTATAAAAGATATGCCCCACCGCACTACTGGACATGCACACTGTGTATGACTGTTGTCTTTCATACCAGTCTGTAGCTGGAGCGCTACAGGCCTACTAAATCAATATACTAGTATTTTTTTGTTTGTTTTGTTGGCCCTGTTGCTTTTACCGTTATTAGTTCTACCATTATAGTTGTACCATTCTCCCAACCTTAATATAACTGTACATCTTTCCCGCCATTTAAACTATTAACTCCATACTTGTTCCATCTTCCCTTCTAACGTTCTATCTCCATAGGCCACCTCCATTTTTTTCCCTCTTAACTTGACTTGCATATTGTGACATCAAAATAATCTAATATATTTTCTAATAATAATACTTGTGAATGCTGCATCACATTTGTCCCTATATTTGCTTAGTAATAGATGATCAATTTAACTTGCACATTGAAAATAACTTCATATCTAACTTAGTTATAATGTTTTGTGCACTTATACAGAATTTTATAGTCAATGTCACATATTTTTGTTTAAATTGCTTTAACAAATATTTTTTCTCGTACTAATTGAAGTAAAAACACACATCTCAGCTTCTTCGTTTAATTTTGTAGATTCATCTAAAGGAAAAAAAAAGGGTTAACAATTTCCAGGACATTGGTTGACAATTTTTTTTTTTTTTTTTTTTCCACCTGCTTTTACCAATACATGTAGGAGACTATATTCTCTGGGTATATGTTTGATTTCGCAGAAGGATTTATTGAGCGAGATAGAGAAAGAATTTAAGAAAGACTTGTTTAGAGGGGGAGGAAATAGCTAGGCAGAGAGAGAGAGAGAGACAGAGAGAGTAAGAGAGAGCGTAATAGTGGACATGATGCTAATATTGTGGAAGAGCTAAATTCTAGGGGGAGGGGGAGGGGGCAAGAAAAATGGATGAAAGAGAGAGAGGCCAAAGTATATGAGGATGTTAAAAAAGTCTGTATAGATGGAATCAACAGGGGTGGGTCTGCAGTGGGGAACTATATTAGCTATCAGCAGAAGTGTGCTTTAATTTTGGTTCATGTTCTCATGAATGTCATCTCAGTTACAGACGAAGATCATCCATCCCAGAGCTGTCAGATTATCTATATTGATTCACCATGTCACATTGATAACCTTAGTAAACCTTTGATAACTCCAAAGCACGCGATCATGTTTGGATAAAATCACCCACACCACTCCCAAAACATGTATAAGAGGGATTTACTGCAAAAATAGATAACAGGTTTTCTGAATGGGAGAAAGACCTGTGACAGTATATTGATGTCAATAGAATGATGTCGGCATCTATTGGGTAGGACGGGTGAGAGAATTTGAGGAAACGTGACACATTTAGAGGCCAGGTATGAAAAGTAACCTAATCGTTGACACGAGTTGACAAATTGGCATTATTAGATTAAAAGAGATATGTCAAAGGAATGTGTGGTTTAGGAAAGAGGGACTCATTGGGGTTAGAATTGGCTGAATTTGTCAAACGCCATTTTCCAATTTGTTGGCAATTTGGTTTGCTCAATTGGAGAGGGTTCCCTAAGTGATTGTAGCTGAATAGGCGACCCTGAGAGCGTTGAGTATACAAATGAATGGTATTGTTTGGACAGAGAGTGTGGGAGAGAGAGAGAGGGGGAGAAAAGGGAAAAGGAAAAAGGAGCTTGTGGAAAAAAACAGAGATAGCTGGTGAAAGGCACGGGGGAAGTGGTGGGAGAGAGAGGGAGAGAGAAAGAAAGAGAGAGAGAGAGAGAGAGGGAGAGGGAGGGAAAGGGGAGGGGGGTTGGAAGAGAAAGAGAGGATGGAGACAAAAAATGCAAAAATGATAGGGATAAAGCATAAAAAAATGGAAAAATAAAAAGTGTATGACAGATAGCCTTTAGATCGTATGTGCATTACCATAGCATGACAGGTTTTATATTAGAAGTATGTCAAAGCTAATTACTTTTTTTGTAAATGTTGTATCATCATTCCTGCTCTTGATCCCCATTTTAAGTTCCCTGATTAAATGATTCCCTCATTAAATGTGTATTCTGTCTTTTTTTATTTTCCAGTTGAGGAAGTCTGAGCTACAAAAGAAGAAGGAAACAGAAGAAGCTCTGTCGCAAATATGCAAGGAAGAACTAGGTAAAAAACAAATTTCCTTTCTATTACTGTCATTTATATCTGTTTACTTTTCCTTTTTTCTTAAATATAAATGTTTTGTGGCTGAAAATATAAAGAGTTCAAAGATATATTGAAAGCATTTGTGAATAATAACCAATATTGCCACAATGTTTGTAGCAGCTCAAAGATTTCCAACAAAGTTCCTGTATAATTTTATGAGGATAGGATACCACATCCAATGAAGTACCAATGTTTTAGATAAAGGATAAAATCATTATGTATATTCAAGGATTTTCTAGATAGCGTGGAATGCTATAACCAGCTCTCCAAAATGTTCCAAACCACTTTGGTTTGCAACAGGATGAGATATGAGTCAACATCCCATTAGATCAGCATACTATTGGGAAGATTTCAAGGAGTATTTTCACCAAGCATATCAAATAGATATAGATTGCCTAAACATCATCCAACCACTTGATATTATTAATCCAAGAGCTATATTGCACATCACGATGGACTAGTTATTAATGCGTCAATGCTTGACTTCCCTGTGTGCTCTCCAGGTAAAGACAAGGAAGAGCAGCTGACCAGAAGAGCCCAAGAGAGGGCAGCAGAGAGGAAAAAGCAGAAAGATGACAAAGAGGAGGCTGAAGGCGGAGGAGAAGCTGGGGTAGAGGGAGGCGGTGACGGCGATGTCCCACCCGGACCAGGACAGTGGGGACCAGGCAGAAGGCTGTCCACCGACAGAAGGCTGTCAATGGACAGAAGATTGTCATCAGACAGAAGGATGTCAGAGGATAGTGTTTTTGAGCCTCATGATGCCACAGGTATTCTCAAGGAAGAAACCGAGGATGCCATCCAAGAAGAGGTTAGGTTTGAAGCCTTTATGTTTCTCATCATTGTTACCATTAGTATTTTAGAATATATAACAGTGAGCTTTGTACCCTCATATAATTTTATGATATACCATGAAAGTGATATGTCAGTGTTTATACAGTTCTATTGATTTGTAATGTCCCCTTTTCAAATCAAATTTGATTTAACTTCAGATTTTAATATTTTAATCAAATGCCTGTGCATCTGGCACATCATTCAATGGACTACTTGATAAATGAAGGGTTGATGGTTGATTTTAATTGGATCAGATTTTTCCAGGATGTGACATGGAATGTTAAGAAATCCATGATATGTAAATGTAGAAATGATATCAAACACTGGTAGTCCAATATATCTTTTTATATGAATGGAAATATGATACACTAATCATGATTATTCCTGAATTTCTGGTACACAAGAAGATGCAGAATCTCTAAACTGTGATTAGAAATTCATGGTCTCTTGAGTTCCCACTTGTAACATAACAAAGGCACAGTTTAGTAGTAGTAGTAGTAGTAGTAGTAGTAGTAGTAGTAGTAGTAGTAGAAGTAGTACATGTAGTATTAGTAGTAGTAGTATATGCCTTTAGACATTCTTTCAAATAGTCTATTTGATCTAAGAAGCACCAGAGTATAAATGTATCTTCATTGTTATGACGTTTTACACTGTCTAAATAAGCAAGTTTACCCCAACCTTTATTTCTGATTAGGTCTTTTTTGATGAACTGCCTCTTCACAAGCAACGGCTATACAACCTCTTTGGTCAGGAGGAGGCCGAGTACTACCTACATCCAAGAATTGAACCTGAGCGCAGGAAGGTCATAAGAATTCCCAATGCTGTCAAGCAGCTAGGAGGTAAGAATAGATTCAAAAGGGAATTTCATTAGAGGGAAATCAAACTGAAATAAACAACTACTATAAACGAAAGCAGAAAATTCAGAGAAGCAAACTGATGAAAGTTTCAATTAGATCTGACTAAATATAAGAAATTTATGAATTTTTGAAAGTTGTAATCACTGTTCGTATAGGTACTTCAAATTGGCTGAAGCGGTAATGTCAATGTGATGTAGTGCCGGACTACTTTCCCATATCTTTCAACATATAAAATGACTAAAATTTAATTTTTTCAAAAGTTCATGGCTCAGGAGGGTCTTTTCATTTTAGAGGACCTAAAATAATATGCTAGCTATACTATTTTTTGAGTAGTGCCCCAAGACGAAGGAACTTTATTTCTCTCACAAGTTTGTGCAGTCTCCTATATCTTATTTACATAGTTGCAATCAATGTCAATCGCAAATAAGTTGTGATTAATTGCATCTGTTTATAAGACGGGCCCCAAGCTTTCAAAAGAACTTTCTGCGTCAGACAAAACCGGCCTCTCCTAATAGCTGAGTGACTGGCTTGTTATCTGTAATGGTTGTTAGGGGTGCATTGAAAGGCTCTTTTAAACACGAAGAAAAGTAGTTTTTTTCAATAGTGGCGTCATTTGCATTCCGTTTTTTGTTTTCATTACAGGAAGAGCTGGAGCTCATACCTTGTGGAGTACATTGAGAGACAGGTCACAGGTCAAACTCAAGTACGCTGATGCTCGTATCCCACTAGAACTCAAGGATGCCTACGGAGCTTTCGTGAGAGAATGCCTGACGAAGAACAAGACAGTAGCAAAGAGGAGTTTCTACAGTGAGACTGAGGTAGGTTTGATGGAGATAGGATTTTAAAGCAAGAAGGAAGTCCATTTTAAGAAGTACATGTCAGTTTCTAATGTTATATTCATCACTGTATTGGGTGATATAAGGAGAATATAAGATGAATTACAAATACAGTCAAACCTGCTTTAGTGACCACCTGTCTACAAAGAATTCATTTTTTGTTTCCCTTGAAAATGGTTTCTCGTTGAAACATGTTCTAAAGGAATCTGTCTACAAAGATCACTTTGTGTGTTTCCCTTGGGCGGTCGCTATAGACAGGTTGAGTGTAGTTTAGTAAATTTGCTGATTTAAGCAATAACCTTAAATATTACAACACTTAATTATCTGCTTCAATGTCAGTTTATGATGTTATATTCTTTACTGCATTGGGTGATGTTAGAGGAATATAGGATAAAATATGAATTGTTTAGAAACCTTGTAGATGTAAGCAATATCCCTAGATATCATTACATCAATTAATGATCCGCTTCAATATATATGATATGGTTTAGTGTTTAAGAATAAGTTGACTGAGACTGTGAGTTAGTTTGATCTCTTATACTAGAGATTGTTAAATGTTTTGGCAATTTACATCTTTAGTATGAAATAAATCTTGACAAAAGGGAAATTACGCCCTAATATTTTCAAGTTTTTCACTTTCTCATTGTGTTGTGTATACAAGTATATTGTAAACTAATAACTTGTGAGAATGCAGAACTGTAATGATATTGTAAATTTGCATGATTATATTTATTAAATCCCTGTCTAGCAGGAACGAAAAAGCACTTTTATTTAAAACAACATTTCATTTGACCTCTAACCTTGACTGACCTTGAATCCATGATCAGGTACCGGAGAGTGAGAAGCTCCAAGACAACAGCTACAAGGATCGAGTCAAAGAGACCCAGCGTCGTATGGAGCTCATGTACCGTGCTGCCCTGGCCAACGAAGACAAGACCGGTGTGCTCCTCTACAACAACCCCATGCCAGATTTCAACAACTTTGAAGGCCATGAAGGACCTCTCCGCTACCTCCCATCCTGGCTTCAAGTGGTAAGTACAGTCAAACCTGCTTTTAATAGCGACCACCTGTATAAAAAGACCACATTTTTTGTTTCCCTTGAAAATGGTCTCTCCTGGAAACGTGTACTGAAGGAACCTGTACATTAAATCCACCTGCCTATAAAGACAACTTATCTTATCTCCCTTGAGCGGTCTTTATATACAGGTTTCAATGTATACATAGATGAAGTCTTGTATCCTGGATATCGTCTGCTGAGAGTCAGAGGGACGTTAACTCCATTTCAAAGTATACAAGCTTATAAGCCCTTCTGGCTGTCAGCCAATGACATTATGAGAATCATTTTTGTCGCCTCTGGCATTAGCTTGTGATGCCACCTTCAAAGGGCATACTGTCTGAGCAATTTGATTCATCTGATGTATGAACTTGTGCATCTTTAACCAATGAACCTGCAACACTTATAATAGGCAGTTGGTTCCAATTGTATAAAAGGTATAGCTCTCCTGCCGCTCCCCAAAATGTTGACTTTCCCAAGGTCCTTGTATTGTTTGAATTTCATTCAAATTTCAGTCATTTTTTTGGACATTCTATATGCTAGTGTTATCTTACAGTTTAATTCATTTTCTATTACTATGATCAATTTGTAGAAGACTAAACTCTAGCATGCCGAGATGCATTCCAATTAGAAATGTATGCTACATTGTCAGAGAAAATGAACTCGCCATCTTTGGGTTAAAGGCATCGTTTAATAAATCTGAGATGCATGGCCCTACGTGTTATCAGTGCCTGTGATATGATGTAATATTGAAGCCCTAACAAAAGTGCCTCAAAAAAGTAAAAATCATTGAGTGACCGGTTTTACCATACCAGTACTCATTTTTCCCAATAGACTGTAGTGTTATAAAAACTGTTAGGAAAACAAAAAAATGAAATTTCGATTTCCAATCATAAATATCTTGATAATCAGACAGACAATCAGCTGGTAAAAGTCATGAGATTCCTGACTGACCTTAAGGTTTATAATTATGATTGCAGCATGAGCTAAATCCAGGATTTTGTTTCAGGATCTCAGGCAATATTACAGAGTAACTTTAAGGTACTTTGTTGCAGTGATAGTAAAAGATTGATTCACTTCTGGAGAGCCCTCTAATGTAAGTTATATGCCTGTGTGTTGTTTGCAGGATGATGATAGTGAGGAAGGCACGGAGGAAGATAAGAGCTATAAGAAGTGGCTACTGAGCTCCTCGGATATGGAGATAGAACCTCTACGATTTGAAGACAACCTTGAAAGTTACGATATAGGTAAGAATGCTGTAGGTTTAGCTGGAGAAGGAGCATGCAGATCATTGCCAGGGTGATTTTGTTTCTCTCTACCTTGTCCTTATAATGTAGATAAAACATCTACAATGAGGATTACATTTTATTTATTTAAAAAAAAATGCAAACTCTACATTGATGAAAAGTAAATACTGCCAAATGGATTTGATTTTAGCATTTATGTTGAGTAGAGGCTTTGATAGATGTGTGATTTCGCATTCTGTAGTTTGATGTTTATTTTATTACATCTTGTTTACCAGATCACCAATTTTGAATGTAAATTGATTGATGTGTGAACGGTTGTGAAGCGTTAAGTGGGGATCTCCCATCTTACTTTGGAATGATATGCAATATGATTGATTATATAATAATTAATAGATTGTATTTGTCAGAGAAATGCAAGTGCCATGATTTATTTGTGACATTTTTCAAAATGTGAAAATCACTCGTGGAAGAAAAGGAAAGTATTTTGGAAAGATAGGGTATCGCTTTAGTCACGGCAATTGTTACTTATGGAATAAAATTTTTATTTTTTAAACCAGATATGGTCCAAGATGCCAACAATCAAGAGGATAAAGAAACAGACAATGATGAACAATTCTTCAATGATGTCCTGGACTATGATGACGGCCAGACGAGTGATCGCTCCGTCACCTCTTTCTCCCTCCCTGACATGGCCCTGGGTGGTGACGAAGACATGGGTTACCCTCGGATCCCACCCACCCAGGACCGACCGGACCAAATCACCAGCAACCATGTGCCTCCTCAGGGTTCAGCAGCAGACGACACTGGTAGTGGTGGGCTAGATCTGGAGGGAGTCAAGAAAGAGAAGAAAAAACAACTAGTTTTCTTGACTGAGAAGGAAGCAACATGTGAAGGACGTTTCCTGGAGAATCTTGCTGCCAAGGAGAAGAATAGATCAGAGATGGTGACAGGGGCTAGTGTAGAGGCTGCATCATCCGAGACCAAGACACCAAGAGATGGTCAAAGTTCAAGTAGAAGTGGTGAGAAACTTGCTTTAATTGGTTGTTGAAGGTGTTTTACAATACATTGTTCAGTAACAAGTGCTCCGCAATAATTTTCTTACACTAGCTAAAACTTTCATTTTAACCCTTAGTCCTATATAGCCTGGGCTATTTTGAAACTGCATAGTCAGGGGATGGGGGAGCTTATTAGGCCCCCCCCCCCTCCCCCCCCCCCCTACCCCAGGATCTTGGCCGTGAAATAGTTGATAGCTGCAAAAATTTGCATGCATGTCAAGTGAAGTGTATAGAATACTATAGTAATTTTAATTTTTGGGAAAATTCACTCATTTGCATATCTATGGTAATTAATGCATTTAAGGTCATTAAATTCACATTTTTACCCATGAATCATATACCGTATTCTTCATATTCAAACATTCGTTTTTGCTACATATATTTTTTAGACCATTTGGAAAAATAATACAACATAAAAATTTGGAAGAGCCAGGTTATTCCTAATGTTATCTATTGTTTTAATAATTTCTTTGTTTTTTTTAACTTTTAACTTGTGTATTTTATTGTTTTTGTTTTTTATTTCATTTCTAACTAAAATTCAACTATTTTGACTCCGAAAACAAACACCTAAACTATAAACAAGACCAAATAACCAATGTTCCAACTTTTTTTTTTGGAAAAATCATGTTTCCATGTGTTTTGTACACAAATGACGAAAATAAGCAATTTTCGGGCTGACATGCAAAGACAAAAGGTCACGTAACTTTGTAACGGTAGGTCCGATTTTCGAAAGATTTGTTTTAAAAGATGCACAAGTTGTTAAATTTCAGTGCAAGATTCTTTTGCGTTTACAAATTCTCGCAAAAATGTAGATGGGTGCTTATTAAGGCCCCCCCCCCCCCCCCCCCTAACCCTACCTTTTACTCCAAACCTAACCTTTCACCATCCTGTAGGGTTAGCATCAAACAGTTCTGAATATGATACTAGCCTTTGAAAATTATGCAGGGTTTTTGTGTTCTTGACCATATAAGTTTTATGATTTGATGTTAGATTATACCTCCCTGCCTTTTTCATTGTAGGAAAGTCAAAGGTTCGCTCCCACACTGCACCAGCAACTACTTTGAAAGCAGGAGTCGCTTCACCGAGCGGTACCACTCCTAGGGCATCTGGGACCGGAGGAACAAGACAGAGCCGCAGGTCCAGGAGCACCAAGGGTCCTGAATGGGAACCACTAACCATGACGGCGCTCAACGATCACAAACCAGCCATTCAGCTGTTTGGAGGAGCTGACTTTGCTCATGGCAGTGAGTTCCTGTGGAAGCCAGTTCTATCCACTACTACCACAGCCACCGCCAAAGGAACATAGCAGACACTGGGGGAGATGAGTAGGTTGGGGGAGATGAGTAGGTGGGGGAGACGATTAGGTGAAGCATTTGGTGCTGTTAGTAAAGAAGATAAATTTGAATAACAATCAAAGTTATTCAGCCATGAATTGAGGAATGTGGGGGTGTAAATACCATTAAATTCATGTTATGAAAAGCCCAACAATCTTTAATGTAAATTTAATGTGTCAAAACAGCATTGTGAAAGAGTTGATGATGCCAGCTGTATAAGATAACGAAAGTAATTTTTATTGTATTCCTTCCAAATTATGTAATTGTGAAGTAAGGTGCTCAGTGGACCGTAGAACAGCATACTGAACAAACATTTGAGGACAATGTATTTTCACAGGTTTTTAACCAAATGAGCATTGAGCAAGGACGGAAGTCAGACATATAAATGATAGTCTAAAAGCATAGATATAAAAACATGATTTGGATCACTGTTGGAAACCACTATATGCTCATTACCTACATCACAGAGATAACAAAATATTTCAGAAGGATAGTAGGATAGAGAGTCACAGAAAAGTTAGGCTTACTGTTTTTTACACTGTCATATCCTTAATATTGCCTACATCATTATTAGAACTACATATCAGATTGTACAGGATCAGTACATGGTTTTATTGATTGCTGTTGTTTCTGATCCAAAGGTATTCTGTTCAAATCAAAATCTTCAAGAAGGGTTTGTTATCGTTATAAATATCTTTGTCTTTCAATTACCGGTATACAAGGAGTATATTCCGTCCGTAATTTTAGTTACTCTTCCAAGTTTTGAAAACAGACCAGCATCAAATGTTTTCCAATCGTTAATATTTCAACAAATGTAAAGTATATATGTATATTTTGTAAATATATTTTAAATAGTTATATATTTCAAAATCATCAACTCTTCTTATACAGGACAAAGAAACGTAACAATCTAGCATGAGAATGAGAAATGCACATTTATGTCACGCCATGTCATAAATGTTTTTTTGTAGTTTGCAGTGTAGACCGCATCCCAGTTGGCTGTATATCATTTAAAATAACTTTGGGCAAATTTAATTCTAATTTGTTGGGTTCTATGTTGGTCTTTGGGAGAAATAGTTCCACACTCTATTTGCTTTTCATTTGATTCTATTTATAAAAATCAATTGGTGTTTATCATGAAAACTTGTTCCATAGTTTTACAACAACAAAAAAACATTTCCATTCATTTGATAGAGGTTATATCTTATTCCTGGATTTCTTTGTGAATGATTTTCAGTTGTTCACAATCTGTTCATAAAGAAACAATATACATGTACTTTGTATTGACATATCCCAATAAATATCCTTTCTTTTTCTGGAATTAGAGTTTGAATACAAAATACAAGGCAATATCCTTTGCTCTAGTTTGGAGGGTGAAAAGTTACAAAACCAATAGATAAAGTATAAGCAAGTCTATTATACCATTTAATGAAATCACCAGTTTGTAAATGTTTTTTTAATTGTATTTGATAATGTCATTAATACGTTTCACTTCTTTTGTTGTAAGTGATGTTTGTCATTCATCATGAATTTATTACGTTTTTATCTGCCACTCCACTTTGTTACGAGTATAGTTTTTGAATAAAGTTGTACAGAGTTAAACCACATTTTTGGAATTCATTTAGTACTATGATTAGAGATGACAAGAGAGCGATGAAGAGATAGGCAGACAAAGGTAGAAACACATGGAGAGATGAAGGGGCAAGGACATTTCAAGAGTTTGAGGAGAGAGTAGGAGGAGAGATGACCAGAAGGGAGAAAAAGAACAAGAAAGGGAAAGAGAGAGGGAAAGAGAGAGAGAGAGAGAGAGAGAGGAGAGAGAGAGAGAATGAAGAAAGAGGGAGGAGAGAGAGAGAGAGAGAGAGAGGTGAAGAAAGAGGGAGGAGAGAGAGAGAGAGAGAGAGAGGTGAACAGAGGTAGTACAGAGGGGAGATGGAGGATGAAACATGAAGCTGGAGGAAGGGAAGCCTTGCAGAGGACACAAGGAAATGAGAGAAAAAGATATTGAGAAAGAAAGAGGGAGGTAGAAATATAAATAGAGAGGAGAAGAGACAAGAAACATGTATGTATTAAGGAAATGGATTCTCATAGAGAGGGAGAGCTGAAGAGTGAGAGAAAAAGAGAGAGAGAGATGGAGAGAGGGAAAGAATGATAAGAATCAGAATACACACTGGTAGATTGATATCAAAAGCGAGAGAGAGAGAGAGAGAGAAAGAATAATAAGAATCAGTATACAGAGTGACAGATAAATTGATATCAAAATGCAAGGGAGAGAAACATGAATAAAAAGGAACAGATATCTAATTTTGTTGTAATATTAATAAATGCGTTAAAACATGCTTCCATTTAGATATGTGTTTTGATTTTGTAAATTATGTACATTCATACATAATTAATCAATATTACGTATGCCACATATACGAGCAAAATCATATTTAGATGAAAATCCCTTACAAATCCACAAAATTATTCCATGATAAAAGTTAATATCATCCACACAGCCAACAGAACCATCATCTTTTTAAGCACATAGGAGTTGTGATTAATTGGGGAATGTTCTTGTGACTGGATATAAAACCGATTCAAGAAGTATAGCACTATATGTGTAATGACGACATGAGGATACTAAAATATAAAATAGGAAAGTTATCATAACATTGCCTCACAAACAGTCGGATAAAAAACGGGGCCGACAAAAAAAAACACATCTACGACAGTTAGTAAAACTAATTTAGTTGTCGTTTTATTCAAATCGTTCAAAAAAGAAGTCATATTTTAGGAATCTGAACGATATAATGTTAGCATTTCTAACAACCTTATATACCCATACATGGGTGTCGATCCCGGGGGGATGGGGGGATATATTCCCCCCCCCCCCCCCCAATATTTCAGGTGGGGGGGATGGCCTGAACAATCATTCCCCCCCCCCCCCCCCCCAATAATTCACCATTAAAAAAAAAAAAATTAATGATAAGAGCCCGATGAGAGTAGTTAATGGTTATTACTCGCAAGATGACCATCAATATACACATGTTGCTATCTCATTTTCATAATACATACATATATAAATAGAAAACGAAGTAAATGAGACGACCGTACATGGGACAAGAATAAATTGAATTCTTGCTCATACGGTTTCATCAGGAATTGATGGATTTATTCAATCAACAGCATCATAGAAATGCAGTGTGCCAAATGCAAAGCCGCAGCGTTAAAAAGCAACAAGCTTAGTAAATGTTAAGCGCGAAGCGCAAAAGTGCAAAAAAGCAGAAGAGAGTGGGAGAGAGATAATGAGAGACAGAGAGGATACAAGCGCGTAGTCAGGGGGTAGTGGGGGCAGTAGCCCCACCCCCCCCCCAAAAAAAAAGAGAGAGAAAGAAGATAGGAAGATGACGTAGGAAGAAAAAGGATTAAGAGTCGAGAACGGTACAATGAATCGTATTCTTTCTCTAATAATTTAATGAAACGTCGAAGCTTCCGCGCTTCGGGCAGGAAGGGGAGGGGGGGGGAACTGAATTCAGACAAGGATTAAGAGTCGAGAATGGTACAACTAATCGTCTTCTTTCTCTCATAATTTAATGAAACGTCAAAGCTTCCGTGCTTTGCGCGGGAAGGGGGGAACTGAATTCAGCAAGGATTAAGAGTCGAGGATGGTACAACGAATCGTCTTCTTTCTCTAATAATTTAATGAAACCTCAATGCTTCCGCGCTTCGCGCGGGAAGGGGGGGGGGGGAACTGAATTCAGACAAGGATTAAGAGTCGAGAATGGTACAACGAATCGTCTTCTTTCTCTAATAATTTAATGAAACGTCTAAGCTTCCGCGCTTTGCGCGGGAAGGGGGAACTGAATTTAGCAAGGTTTAAGAGTCGAGAATGGTACAAGAATCGTCTTCTTTCTCTAATAATTTAATGAAATGTCAAAGCTTCCGTGCTTCGCGCGGGAAGGGGGGAACTGAATTCAGCAAGGATTAAGAGTCGAGGATGGTACAACGAATCGTCTTCTTTCTCTAATAATTTAATGAAACCTCAATGCTTCCGCGCTTCGCGCGGGAAGGGGGGGGGGGGAACTGAATTCAGACAAGGATTAAGAGTCGAGAATGGTACAACGAATCGTCTTCTTTCTCTAATAATTTAATGAAACGTCTAAGCTTCCGCGCTTCGCGCGGGAAGGGGGAACTGAATTTAGCAAGGTTTAAGAGTCGAGAATGTACAAGAAACGTCTTCTTTCTCTAATAATTTAATGAAATGTCAAAGCTTCCGCGCTTCGCGCGGGAGGGGGGGGGGGGGGAACTGAATTCAGACAAGGATTAAGAGTCGAGAATGGTACAACGAATCGTCTTCTTTCTCTAATAATTTAATGAAACCTCAATGCTTCCGCGCTTCGCGCGGGAAGGGGGGGGGAACTGAATTCAGACAAGGATTAAGAGTCGAGAATGGTACAACGAATCGTCTTCTTTCTCTAATAATTTAATGAAACGTCTAAGCTTCCGCGCTTCGCGCGGGAAGGGGGAACTGAATTTAGCAAGGTTTAAGAGTCGAGAATGTACAAGAAACGTCTTCTTTCTCTAATAATTTAATGAAATGTCAAAGCTTCCGCGCTTCGCGCGGGAGGGGGGGGGGGAACTGAATTCAGACAAGGATTAAGAGTCGAGAATGGTACAACGAATCGTCTTCTTTCTTTAATAATTTAATGAAACGTCAGTGCTTCCGCACTTCGCGCGGAAAGGGGAAACTTTCCCTCCCTGCACCCACCCCCTAGAAGGTGCTCACTACCGCCCCCCCCCCCCCCAAATTAAAATCCTGCCTATATGTTTGAAAGGATGTGGCACTCACATGGGTCCCATATTCTCTAAAATGCTATCTTTATTGAGGGTGACTTGAAAAAGTTAATAACTTGGAAGGGAGGGGGTGCAACCTGCCACACGCCTCCACCTCTTGGTTGCTTTGATCCATTGCCGAAAATATTTTGGCACCTTTCATCCCCCCCCCCCCCCCCCCCAACCGAGGATACAAATCGACACCCTTGTACCCATAAGTAAACGTATATGGCCCGGCAAGAAGAGGCCCTCATTTTTGTCATTATGCTTACTTTTATTATGATATATAAACTTTGGGAAAGTATATTGCTTTGATTTTCTTGAAATACAAAACAACATTAACCACAAAAGTGTTGCTTTAAATTAGAACACGGCCCGTAATATATCATAGTATGACCGTTAGGTTTCGACTCATAAATTTTAAGCGGGACACTACATTAGCTCGCATAAATCATTGGTTTTGAAAGCTGAGCTCTCGCTTTCAATATGAATTTTACGCGGGATCAAAGGTTGGTCTGTATGTTTACCTAGTCAACCATTCACCTGGCTCTTATTATTATACACAAAGGCAAATATTGTCTAAATATGAATTGTTCTTAAACTTGCTTGTGGCCGACACGCACAAGCGATTTCAATCATCTATATACAGATCCACAAATAATTTGCAGACTTTGGAAGCTTCAACAGGTGGTAGGAAAAGCTGGAAAGCTCAAGAGTAGGGAAAATGGCTGATTTCTTGTGTGGTTATTGTGTTGGCATCGCAGCCAGTTTGATCATAGTGTGGATTCTGGTCTCCGTCTTGGCTTACAGCGGTTTGTTTCACCGCGTGGTCGTGAGGAAACTATCTAACCCTGTTGGGAAGCTTCGAGTGGCGTACCTTTACAATACGGGGCCATATCGAAACTGCGGACTGCTTTTCGGCCGGGTGAATAGTGTGTCGCCTCATGCGCGATGTATGGGCATCTATTACGATGACCCAAAGACGGTAAGTATATGTTAGGTGGGCCATGTTCATAATGCCCCCCCCCCTCCTTTTTTTTTCTTCTCTCTCCTTAATCTTTACCACAAAAATATCAAAATCAAGGATAATATTCCTCAGTCAGCTGGGCGGTAGACACTGTTCAGTTTTCCTCGGCATTCATTATTAAACCAGGAGAAAGTGAAAAGGAGAGGAGGAGGAGAAAAAAGAAGAGGAAGAGAAACATAAAGGGGGAGACTGAGGAGGAAGAGGGATTAAAAAGTGAAGGATAAAAGTAAAAAGAAACTGCCAAATCGCATTAGTTCGTGAAAACTCTGTGGCTTTAACCTCGCCGTACATTGACGAGCCTATATGATGTCATTAGGAATAAGACTATTGTTGTTGAAGGCAAGTTAAACAGAGAAAATGAACGGCTTGTCTCATTTAGCATTCATAATCGGATTAATGGGGCTTACGAATCGACAATTAATCCCCAGGGTGCCATGCTCTCAAGGTTTAATACCTGATTGTATCAGAAGATCAAAAATGATTCCCTATTTATTTACTTCTTCTTTTTATGTGTGTGCGCGCGCGAATTTTTGATTCCAATTTGTTTGCGATGAGGAAGGTGTTTAAAGCCCCTCTAAGGTGTTGGGAGCCCCACAAATATGATGGCAAAATTTTGTGAAAGAGGATTTCAATTAAAATATATTTCTGCAAGGATTTTCAAAACAAATGTGTGTGAAGTCGAATTGATGAAAGAATACAAAATTTAAGTTTTCAGCGAACAACAGAAGACCCAAATTATGTATTCTGTCATTTTGTCTTCAAACGCATTTTGGGGGGTAAATCTTTGCAGATGTGTGTCTTAATGACATCCTCTTTCACAATATGATGCAATTATTTAAGTGAAATTTTGCCATCAATTTTTTTGACGAATTTGGGGCTCCCAACACTTAGGGGGCTTTGAAGGTACTATGTCCCTTTTGCAGCCAACCTAAAATTCTTTAGAACTTTGCAGGAATTATGAATATGTCATGTATGTCCTATCTGTGAAATTTAAACGTTAGCAGTGTCCTAATATTCAAATTATGCAAGGAAACCCGTTTACTTGCTAGACTTCACTGTCAGACACTATTGAGTGACTGATTGTTGTTTTTTCTGTTTTGGTTATGACATACATACAGTGAGCTGTAAATGGTTAATGAGCATTTGTCTTCATCAATAACCCACTTTTTGTGATGGCCAAAATTAAACTGATTGAATCTTTGCGCAGCACAAAACGTAAGACCATTCAGTGCAATAGTCTAAAATTCAAGACTATTACTTATTGGCTCTATAGCTCCTAAGTCGATTTGACAACTAATAGTCGTTATTTTCCCACTTGAAGACATTTTCAAGCCCCACCTTTTTTAGGGAAGTTCTAAATTAGTATTATCTTTCAAATGCCGTTGGAATTTAACCTTTTCATTTTTTTAGGCCTGCAAATGGGACATAGTACCTTTAAACTTGTGTTTATAACATTCTTCATTTTTAAACCCGGATGGATTTCGATTAGCTTTTAATTTGATTTTCAATAGATGGATCATCATTATTTCAGCAGGTTTATACTCATAATGAACTCCTCATTATCCTGAAGTTTGCTGATATAATTTTTTTAATCCATGTTCTCCTTTGGTCGATCAGACCCCTGAGAGTGAGCTGCGTTACATGGTGGGTACGATCTTGAGCGAGCACGATGACGCAGTGGACGATGAGCTCCAGAAGCGGTGTGAAGATGACGGTTTTAGGGTGATCGAGGTCCCTGCCATCGTCGACGCCATCGGAACCGATTTCCCTTTCCGTTGGATGCTGTCCGTCTTCTTTGCTATCTGGAGGGTTTACCCAGCCCTTAATAGGAAGATCAAGGTGAGAAAGCTGGAGAGACTATGGCGTTGGTAACGGAGGAAGGTGTAAAAAAATGTGAAACATGCCTGAAAAATGGGGGAGAAAAACGGATGATGATGATGATGAAACTAAAAACCAGGTATATTTTGTAGTATACCCATTTCAAATCGATGGCAGGCGTGCAACCCAGATATGTTTTTGAAATAATTTGGTGTTGCGAAGAAGGATTTACGGCAGCCCGACATTGTGCCTATTTTCTCCGGCTTTATTTCGTCAAACAGTCTTGTAGCGTGATAATTCCAGTGGGGGGGGGGGGGGGGCATTGGAGGCACCGGTCTCACTCGGAAAGTTATATTGCTAATCATGTACAAGACCTCTGATAAGAGCCATAGAGCTGGAGGCTGCCCTGCCCAAAAAGGTACACCCCGTAATTTAATGGATATAATTCTCTGTAATCTTATTCGTATAAGTTACATTAAGACATCCTGAAGTCATGATTGAAAAGAGCGATTGGCGTCAGAGAGTGGGCTCCATCTCGGCTGTGGCCGCCACGTGATGATGATCTGATTAGAGGGAGCGTGTGGGAGGCAGTCCTATCGTCTTATTTCCTCGTCCTTAATTATAGTAGAAATAGACTATCGGATAAATATTATTGTTTAGCGCAAGGCAATCTGCCACAATGTCTATACCCATTTCTCCATTAATTGCCTTTTCTCTCTTTGTCCTTCTTTCCCTTTTTGTCGGCAAAGATACAGTTAGGATTGAAAGTGTGTTTTTGTTTAGGTCTAGGGTTAGGTTAGGTATAGTGTTTGATCCCAAGTCCCTGGTTTGATCAAGGGTTGCAGTTGAGAATTAGGTTATCTGGTTATTGTAGTATATTGACCGCGGATCAACATTGTCACCGGAGCGTGTATCAGAGAACCGAATATAATCCACTTTCCACTTTTTCAGTTGTAAGACGATAATTGTATTAAGAGTTAGGATTATATAGTGGTTGCAGTTAAGAATAAGTAGATCATTGTATATATTCAAATGTATTGATGTTTCTTTCACGTGGACCTATATTGACGAAGTATTCCATTACTTGGAGTCCAGTCTGCATACATTATGTGTTGCTATGCCGAGCAAGCCTTGTGCAAGCTTACTGGCTGTCAAGGAGCCTAAGGTGTTTATCTCGAACACTGGTTTCGTAACCTTTGAAAATTCAAGGTATAACAAAACCCCAATGCAAGAAAGAACACGATGATGGCTCAAAGTATCAAAGAAATTGACAGTAGACTTTCATTTAAAAAAAGATAACATCCCAAATAAACTTCGTCCATATTGTATCACTCAATGACAATGAGAAGGGTTAATTCAAACAAGAGATGCGAATGAATTGTAATCATAGTGTAGAGATATCATACATTTTGCTTGTACTAAGAATTTTCTTGTGTTTGAGTTGATATCAACACCATTTCTTTATTAAAATGCCCAATAGTCGATGTAAATAAGTGAGCAATTGTGTCTGGAATGAGATAACACACATTCACTGCTTCAGCCCAAACTCGGTATATACAAGAGGATTTTGACAATACTTTTTGAAAAGACTACTGCTCAGTCATCCGTGGCAGCACAATTATGATTATGGTATCATTAGACAAGGTATAAATTACCCTTTACCTTGATATATGATTCAAGGTCACATACGTTTTAACTTTATAATTAGAAGTTACCAAAATTGGGTACACTTTTTTTTATTCGAACTGTATATTTCCCTTACATGTTATCAGTGAACCGAATTCACTGTAAGTTCAGTTGTAAGACGATTACACGGTCTCTCGGTTCTATCAGTTTCAAGCGAGTGGAAATGGAAGAAGGAAGGTGAATTGGATGAAGGAGGAGACATGGTGATTTGAGCATGAATGAGATAAGCCTTTCTGGATAAAGAGCAGACTTAGGCCTATATATAGGCGAAGTCAGTAACAGGACTAGTTGAATTATTTACAAATGAATGATTGTGGCCAAAGGGATTTCTGTATTAACTAAATTGTTTACTCTTTCTGTTTGCCCATTTTGTTTATGATATAGAAAGAAGGATTGAATGCCCGCCCTTGCTTTGAGATCTACGGAGATGGAATGACCAACTTCTACATGCCACTTAGCAACAATGACGCGTACTATGTACCCGAGGCACTCAAAACAAATCAACTTAAACTTGGTCAAAATACGTAAAGGCATTCGACCTTTAATATGACAACTGATCACAGACCAACTTTATGCAATCACAAGCCGACATCATGTCTTTTCTATAATTTCTTCAACTTTCTCCTAATCCGTTCACCCATTTTAATTCTTACGACAGGGCTCCTGATACGTACATATTAAACACAATTGAAACACACTTCTATTGGGTAACGCTTGCCCGACGACGAGGAGCCGTCCGTTTATTCGATGTGATTATCAAAATAAGCATTCAACTACAAAAAAAATCATGGAAACACAAGTTTTAATATCACCTTCCTTGCATTATTTTAAAGTAAAGTGACATCCTACCTGCACCGAGCGTTCCCAAACATGGCGCAAAATAATAGTGTACAGGCTTTTAAATGCTCTCCACTTTAGGAAGCCATAGTTATCGTCCCGACTTCCGAATATATCTTTCTGTAACCAAATATCTGTTTTTCACTGAGAGCCCTATAACAATAATTTTCTACGACAAATAGTTCCATGGTAAAATACCAGAGATAAAACTCAATGAGTAAAAACTCTGGTAAACCGTCAGAATAACAATTACATAAACTTTACGCTGCGCACAAGCCCGAACTTTGTCGTGAGGAAAATCCATACATGGTGTCGGCAAATGAGCGAATCTGTATGATTTTCCTATTCTTCAGGAAAAAATACAATTCGAACATCATTCACGTTGTTACTTCAGTATTACTAAATTAACAATCATACTAATGTTTAATGCAGTTTTTGTTGTAAACAAATATTCTATGACAGTGTTTTTTTTTAAATTATAAACTCATGGACTGATAGTGAACAATTTGTATTTCAAGAAACTCACATAGTATCAAAAAAAGAACTGAAGTTAAATTATTCACATTGACAACTTCTAGCATATCGAGGCGTTTTTTAAAATTATTTTTACTCACCCAGTTAAAGTAAAATGCTCCAATATGGTCAGGACCAGTGATAGCCAGTATTGTACTACGTTTTAAAAGGGTGACTTATAATGTAACTCACGACAGCGGAGGCTCTCGACGATCATACGATAAATTTATTTGATCGATAATGATATATACACAATGACATACATACACACTTGGATATAAAATATACACCTGTGTGTAATTTGATACACTATTTCAAGAAAGAATTCAAAAACAAATTCATAACATTGTTTATGTTTGTATATATTATGTTACATATCTTAAATACACCTCCGCCATAATAAGGCACCGTGCTATATAGCAAGTTTACGCAAGTATATCAATTATACAAAATTACGGTGTCATTAGAGTACTGTTATTTTTTTTAAACACTTTTTTCACATTTTTCATACACCGCTTAGTTAACATTATTTTAAATGATGAGCTGTCATTGAAGAATTCGAGTTTGTTTGCAACAGCAAAGAATAATTCTTAGGATCTGCAGATGGGGGCATTGAAAAAAGGCAGTACTTGCTACAGTAATTCTTGTCAATAACAATTATCATGAATCATGTCAAAAGTTCATGCCTTTCTCCTGTAAAACTTTATAATGTTTATTTTTAATGTGCCTGTGCGATGTGCATACATTTTACCAACAAAATAGTTATTGTCATCGGCGATATAATTGTCTTTGTTCGAAATAAAATAAGCTTGTCAAGTTTAAAAAAGATATAAATAGAGATAATATGACATTCGTGTGTGTACATACGTTCAGTAATGGTGGTGGTGGTGGTGGTGGTGATGGTGGTGGTGGTGGTGGTGATGATGATGCATGAGTGTGGCGTAATGGTGACCGGTTGTGAAGGAGGCGGGGAGGTGGTGGTAGCGATGGTGGTGATTGTGCATGGTGGTGGTGTCAGTTGGGCGCGGGGGGGGGGGGTGGTGCACTTTTGAAGGTGCATGACATGATTGTGCATGGTGGTGGTGTTAGTGGCGGGGATGGTGATGATTGTATGATTGAGCACGTTGGTGCATGGTGGTGCGGGTGGCGTGATTATGGGGATGGCGTTAGCTATTGTGCATGATGAGGGTGCATAATAATGGCAATATGGTAGTGGTGGTGGGGGAGGTGGTGGTGGCGGTGGTGGTGGTGGTGGCGATATTGCTGTTGGTTCTGCAGATCAGCAGCAATGGTAAAAAAACACTGTTCATTTTCTGTTCACCCTTTGCGTCATACACTCTCACAAGGTGCGTCAAAGACAGCGTCAGTCACTGACGCCTCGTGTGTGACTCGCCAAGGGATCAAAAGTGTTCAAACCAAACGATGGCTAACAAAACATACTGCATTTTCTGCCTTAACATGCATCTGTAGCAATTTCTACATACTCTTCACGAAAGAGACCCATGGCCCATGGTCACTCGGCGTAAAGTGTTAACAACTTCCATAACTTTTGACTGTTTCTCATCACAGTACAAGATTAAATCATATACAAATATTGTGTTAATTTCATTAGATATTTTCCAATCTGTTGATCTCCCCTGTATACAAAATTGCTTCCTATAATCTTTTAGCAAATGAGAGGATGAAAGGTAATTTGTAATAAAATTCTCCGAGTGTTGTTGCCTCTTTAAAAAAAAATAGCTTGTGACAGTAACAAACGTAATTACTGTTTAGTCAATACACAGATATGACATTCAATTACTCAATACAAAGTTTGCACGCAGGAACAACAAAATGTTGCCTTTAATATTGAACTTAAATGAATGAATATCCATACATAAATAAAACTTCTTTAAAACTCCTTAATATGATTTTTACACTGTCACAAATATTTTCAAATATCACCAATTGTCAAGCATAGGGCTGTAATTTGAAATAAATAAATTCTCAGTTGTGTGTATATATAAGTATATATATAATATATATATAATAAATATCATAACTATCATGACATCCCCGGTTAGTCAGAAAAATTTAGTTACTCAGGCAATTCAGCAACTGATGAGTTTGAAATGTTTGTGACCCTATAGATGAGTGAAGGGATCTCTGCTCATTGTGGATGGTTCTGATGTTAATTGTGACGTCATCCTTTCTCCACCTCCTTATCGGAATCGATCGAATGGTAGACGTTGACGTCTGTAACGCTTCCGGGTAACGATTCGTCTGCTCGTTTCTTTCGTAAGTAACGCATCCCGAAAAGCACCAAAATCTATTTTTGACAAAAGAGGGGGAATGAAAGTAATCAGTTATAATGATGGTATTGGTGATGATGATAATTGGTGATGATAGTTCCATTTTTATTTTCACTTTTAAAATAAGGAAATGATTACTATGTGGTAAACTAGTAAGGGCGGAACATAAAGGGGATTATGTGGTAAAGTATTATAAGGGCAAAACACAAAGGCTGGAATGTACAAGTTGTAATAAATGGACTCGTATACTTCTTGTTCTGATGTCACAGATAAACAATGCAACGATCCTTCGGAGTGTTTTCCAGGTTGGGTGTCGAAACGTTGAATGTTCATATACCTTTTTATTATGAAAAAACAATAATATTGTATACTACTTCACCAGAAGTAGTCTATAGAGAGATAGCAATGTAAATGTGTATCAGTTGATTTAGAATGCCTCGGAAATGATGGCCTTAATCGCACCCAATTAAATCTTGTAAGTTTATTAAAACACTTTTATGAGGTAAGAAATATATTGTCCAGAAATAAAATTCATATAATAGCTTAAAATGAGACTAGATTTGATGACAGTGTTCAATTGATATAAATCAAAATTGATAATTATTGTGTGATTAGGAAAGATCGTAATAGACACGGCGAAGGAGTGGCTATCAATATACATGAGACTATGAATTCTACTCATATATTATAATTCTAAAGATTAATTTTAAAAGAGATAATTTTTATCCATTGATATCAAGGGTGTCGATTTGTATCCGTGGTTGGGGGGATGATAGGTGCCAAAATATTTTCGGCAATGGATCAAATCAACCAAGAGATAGAAGCGTGTGGCAGTTTGCACCCCCTCCCCAAGCGCGTAGCCAGGATTTCATTTTAGGGAGGGGGCGGTAGTGAGCACGCGAAGCGCGCTCCCTAGGGGGTTGGGTGCAGGGATCGAGGGGAATTTCCCCCTCCCCCGCGAAGCGCGGAAGTTTGACGTTTCATTAAATTATTAGAGAAAGAGGACGATTCGTTGGACCGTTCTCGACTCTTCATCTTTGTTTGAATCAAGTTCCCCTTCCTCCGCGCGTAGCGCGGAAGCTCTGACGTTCTTTAGATTTATAAATAAAGAAGACGATTCGATGTACCATTCTCGACTCTTAATCCTTGTCTGAATTCAGTTTCCCCCGCCCCCGCGCGAAGCGCGGAAGCTTTCTCCTTGTCTCCTATCTCATCACGAGTTCGTCACAGAGTTCAGCTATGTTTACACTGTCCAGGATTGTCTGATGTGCATTGCAGATTGCTACTTTTCGCTTTTTAACGCTGCGTCTTTGCATTTGCGCAATGCATTTCTATGATGCTGTTGATTGAACAAATTGAATAAATTTATCAATTCCTGAAGAAGCCGTATGAGTGAGAATTCAATTTATTCTTGTCTCATATACGGTTGTCTCATTTACTTGGTATATAATGTATGTATTATGAAAATGAGATAGCAAAATGTGAATATTGATGGTCATCTTGCGAGCAATAACCATTAACTACTCTAATCGGGCTCTCATCATTTATTTTTCTCTTCTTTTTTTTGTTGTTGTTGATGGTGAATTATTGGGGGGGGGGATGATTGTACAGGCCATCCCCCCACCTCAAATATTGGGGGGATATATCCCCCCATCACCCCCGGGATCGACACCCATGATTGATATGGTCCTCCGCGAGCAAAACGCAGCTGAACATGTTACCGAAATTACAAAATCGTGCTGGAAGAAAATGTCATGTAATATTGTCCCAAAGCCAAGTTAATAGACCATTTCGTAGTTAGCACATGGGTCAAATGACCCCAAATTTCTACAGATCTTTTACTCATGGAAAAGTTCCACTTTGTGTATTTTAGAATAATCAATGCCAAAGTCATGTATGTGCTTCATGAAAAGCTTTTGTTTGTCCTCTTGTATCATAATAATGTACCGTAGGTGCACACATGACTAGTAGGGACTTTTAGATTCTGCACGACGAGAACGTGGACTGCCCTTTTAAGGCAATGTGACGTCACTGTCAGTGCCTTAAAAGGACGTCACATTGCAGTCCACGTTCTCGTCGTGCAGAATCTAAAAGTCCCTAATGATTACCTAACATGAGCACGTATTAATCTCGGTGCGTTTTACAATTTTATCAGAAATGACCTTTATCTGCCCATGCGCAGATAGTATTTAGGAAATGGAGTACCCTCATAATTATTTATACCCTGCCTAGCTGCCCAGTTTGAGATGCACTTAAAAGCCAAGTTTATATCTGTATAATCCTTCGTCATAGAAAGACCAAGTGCATTCACAATCCGCTTCTCAGGAAAGACCACCTCTGTTATGTTTAAGCCCCATAGATAAAACTATCAAGTAGTCCATTTTCTGGCGGGCTCCTTTATGCCTTTGTTATGGTGGCCCTCACTCATGTCTTTGTACCTTTAGCAGGGGGTGTTTTAGGGTTAACCCCCCCCCCCCCCCCTCAAAAAAAAAAAATTGTTCTCACACCCTCCCCCACCCCCCCCCCCCCCCCCCCCCCCCCCCCCATATGGAAACGTTTGCTTGTATTTGTCTCATAAAAGAATTTGATCACGAACTGACTCCCACACGGTGTTGAGTGCTCAGGGGTCATAGGCCACTGGCTTCATCGGGCAGGTAGTTCCATTATGTGAATGGGTAAATTAACTATTACAAAATGAGGGGACACATTACATTGTACAATAGGGACACACATTGTTTTTATTGTGCAGAACATACTCTTTTATTGACTTACTTATTGCATGGAACTATAAAACCAAAATGCATTTTGTATTCTAACAATTGGAGTACAAAGAATAATAACAGGTGAATGAAATGCATAAACACCACAAACACCTGGGGAGGAAGCATTCATAAATTTGAATACATATAGTTGATAAACGACTCCGATGAAACTATAAAACCAAAATGATATTTGCGTTCTGGCAATTGGAGTACAAAGCATGATAGTAGGTGAATGAAATGCTTCAACAGCAACACAAACACCTGGGAAGCTAGGAAGCATCCATAAATTTGAATAATTTAGTTGATAAACGACGTTTGTTGGAGTAGAAAGCAGTGGATTCTTAACAACACGAACCCATTTAACAGAATGTCGGAACGTTAATTAAATTTGGCGCGGTTGGAAAATGCATCTTTCTACCCTGCGACTTTAATGGTACGATCCAGTAAATTAAAACAGTAAAATGGGTCTTATTTTAAAATTACTCATTAAACAAAACCCAAACTTCAGTGATATCAGAAAAAATATGTTATATCTTATTAATAATTAAAAAAAGATGTATAAACATCGTGAAAGTGTCGCATTTTACGATAAAAGACACCGATTTAGCGAAGATGACGTCATTTATTTAGTGCGCTTGCATCAGGGAATTCAAGGTCAAAATGTCAATTCAGACGCTGATAAGTTATCGGTCGAGCCTTTTTGTTTCCTTTATTCCGACAAAATTATACAATCAATCAAAATAAGTTTGATACCAGAAGAAAGCTAACGATTAGTATTTTCATTAACCGCTTGCCCCAAAGTCTCTTGACCACAGTGAAACGAGTGAGAGCTTGCGAGAGCGGCCAAAGTGTGATTAAAACTCGCTATTTGCTCTTCTCCAACGCAAAAAGAGACGACATTGTGCTGGATAAATGTATTTTTTCCGACAAAAGTACAGAAAATTTGCATATGGTCTTTTTATATTATACTTTATGAAATGTTACCCGAGTGACTTCCGGGCGCCCCAATGCTGGAAAGAAACGCACATTTTAGAAAACTTCACTTTTTCATGGAAAAATGCTTATTTCTTCTATGCACGCAAGTCAGATATTGAGCGGATGATACAACGTTTCCATATGCCCCCCCCCCCCCCCCCCCCACTGAGCGAAATATCGGCCCGCACGATTTTCTCTCTAGCTAGCTCTCTCTTCTTTTTGTGTTTTACCTAATTTGGAAGTTCATAATGATGTGACTGATTTGATTCTTCAAAGTTTGGAGATGATAAATACTCTCATATGACTCCGGAAGTCTCTCCTCGCTGCTTCATTCCATGTACCTCTCCTACTGCCAATAACCAATACACCGATCCCAACACAACACTTATTTGGAAAATAAGTGTTTTAGAACATAGATCTTTGCACGAAATTCATGATATTCTAGGGTGGGAGACTTAATCTCATTTAATGTACAACATTCTGCACGATGATGCTGTACATTATTTGCAGGAGAAAATTATTTTTCAATGATAAGAAAGCTGCTCAAGATAATCAAGGTGAACCTACCTATATTTTAGGCTGAATACACAAAATTGCAACCGTACTTTTCTATATCGTGGTGGTAAAGTTATATAATGACTTGCCCCTTAATGTTCGAAAATTAGGTAACTTTGGATTGTTTAACAAAGAAGTAAACAATGAATCCATATACCAAGAAAATAGTAAATGTAGCATGTAGTTTAAAGGTCTAACTGTAATCTGTATTATAAGTATATTTTATTTTATGAAACTGGACCCTTCAATAAACTATAATTAAATTAATCTAGGGGATGGGAAGGGTAGGTAGCGTAGGTCCTAGGAATGTTTGTTGTTCATATAAATATACACACTCTGTTTCATGGTTTTTGTTCATATTATTATTATTATTATTATTATTGATTAACTAATTAGTCAAATTTGTTTAAGCGGGGGGGGGGGGAGTGGGCACTATTTTTTTTCTTTTCTATATCCAGTTCGTGAGAAAATGAGAAAAATATTTAGTGGGGAATCAGCCAGCCGATGAATAAGCGGGGGGGGGGGGGGGTAATGTGAGCACTAAGTTAAACAAAAAATCAAAATCAAAATCAAAATGGGGGTCAAAATGGGTGGTCTCCCTTCTGTTCTGACAAAACATCGGGGACGTTTGATACGATGTCCCCCCTTGGAAAAATCGTGGGGGTCGTGTCCCCCTCCCCCCCCCTGATTGACGCCCTTGTACTGTACACAGATAGATGTATATG